GCCCCCGCCAGAAGCCTCGGGGCCGAATCACCCACCACACGACACGGGGGGGGGGGAGGCGGGCTGCATAGGGCACCGCAATGTCTAGGGACGGCCCTGCTGTAAACCCTGTATATAATGGAAACCACTTCAATCCAGGGAGTGCTGCAGCACTGCCCCCCAAACCAAGTTTCAGCACCTATGCACATTGCTTAATTTCTATTCCCTGATTGGGCGACCTAAGGCGAGCAGCACTTCTGGTACAATTACAATCAAACCTATTTGTGCTAATAGCAGCTCTTCCGCAAACAGTACAAGAATACAATATGGTTATATGGATGTGCATGGAAAAGGGAACAAAAAGGGGTAGGTACACAGCTGGACTGAAACACAGTTTGGCTTTAGTGAATTATGTTTACAACTACTTTTGCTTTACTCTTTGCACAGTACTTGCTGAATATGACATATAATTAGGCATTTTGGATTATAATGAAAGTAACAAAAATGATGACTGATGTATAAATGTTACAGCTGTTACCAGTTAATAATGTGTGATTTTGAATATTCTATCTGCAAAAGACCCTCTTTTTATGCCATCTTATGTTTAGAGAAGTTTGATTTTTTTAACATGGGAGTTCTACAACCTGAAACCTGAAATTATAAGTGTGCGTGCACATGCCCATCAGTGCGCACTTTTAATGGGACTACTTGCAGAGAAAGACACAACCCCACATAAGCAGGAACAAACAACATTATTTGCTGTACCTAAGGAGAAGCTGGGAACAGATAGTGTGAGGCAGAGACTGAAAATTTTTTGGTTCTTTTCTCCCTATTCACATTTTTCCTTATTCAAGTCCACATACATTCTTATACCGTCCTCAGCCCCATAGTATCCGAGCACTTTCCTGTAATGCACTGTGACAGGACTAATATCTGTATGATCAAGGGTGGTCATGTACCTTCAGTTTTGTCAATGTGTTTACCACACGTCTCTTGTTGTTTTTAGGCATACAAAATACAACCACTTACGATGTATTTTCTCCACAGGGCTACTAAGTCCTCTTCACTCTTCGGCTTCTCCCCTGACTCCAGGTCATCTTCTAGTCTTTGTAGCATCTTTCTGAATTCCTGGACTTCTGCTTCCAACTGTCTGGCTTGGGACTGATAGGCACTTTCTGACTTAAGGATCTTATGCATTCTCTCCTCTTCCTCAACACATATTAGTTTCAACTTCTCCAGGGCTTTCCTCAACTCCTCCAACTCATCCTTCATCTTCCCAGCTCCTAGGGGGGAGGTGTTCTGGATCACCTCTGTAGACTGAACCTCCAGGCATTTCAATTTCTTTTCACCACGCTTGACATCTTTGGCAATGTTCTGAAGAAAGAAGGGAATCAGAAAGAGTTAAGTGGAAAGAACGGTGGGGTGGGGTGGAAGTGGTGGGGAAATGACACCTGATAATATTTACTTTTATCTGTGTATTTATTTTCTTCTCCAATTGTTGTTTCAAGGCATGTCACTTATGAAGTGGCCAGCTGCCAGATTTGATATACTTACTTAAAACTTGCAGCCTTATGATTTAGATAATATAACAGCGGGAGCATGGCTTCCCAAGAACTTGAGGAATCTTTTAAACCTGTTGGGCCTGATTTTCAAAAGTGTTCAGCACCCACAGGGCCAGTGGAAGTCAACAGGAGTCACATGTACTTGGCAGCATGGATACTCAGGCCACTGTGTCTAAAGTTTAGTAGCCCAAACTAAGGCACCCAAAATTGGAGACCACTTGTGAAAAATGGTGCTGTTAACAATGTCACCAACCCCAAGCATTCAAAAATCATGAGTCAGGCCCACCCAAAATCATGAGATTGGCTTAAATCATTAGATTTTTAAAAATAATAAAGGCCAGGGTTGTTTTTATTTGCCTTCTGGCCTTTGAGCCTCTGCGTTACATTCAGATCATGTTTATATGCTTCTCTCTGTAACCAGGAAGGCTAAAAACTTACATTTCTTTTTTTTAAATGAAAGCTCAGATTCTCATGTAATCACATGACTCCAGGAACTGGAGCTTTAAGAAAAATGTCAAATAGCATGAGACTCATGATAAAATTGGGAGAGTTGGCAGTGGTGTGTTAATGACATCATAGAGAGAAAGTGGCAACTGGACAACTCCTGATTCAGGACCCCTTCTTTAGCTACTACACCAGAATTTGTTTTAAATATTCCCCTCTGATAATATACCTTCCCTCCCCGCTTCAGATTTCTCCCCAGAGCCAGATTTGAACTTGCAGTGCTTGAATTCTAGGCCCACAGCATACTCTTGGAGCCACACAGCTCTTAGGAATATACTATTCTGTTAAATACTTGTATGATTTGGGGAATATACACAAGAAGGGATTCAAATGAGAAGAATGCATTTCTTAGCAGCGCTCTCCCTCCCCCTACTAGAACTGTATCATAAAGAACCTGCAATGTCTTTATCCCATTGTCTGCTGGCAACTTTGTTGTTTCTCCGATGCAGCAGTTCAATCCTTCAGTCACACCATTCAGCCACGATTGAAATTGGTCAACGCTGGTCTTGTATTGCTCATGTTCCTTCGTTATCTTTTCAAGCAATTTCACTCTGCACTGTAATAAGAAATGTCCAAAATGGTGAGGGCAAGAGCTTATCTGTCTCTTCACAGGTTGCATTTTTAACTAGGAAAACCGAGCCCATTTCCTTTCACCCTCATGTCACTCAACCTTTTCAGGAATTCACACCTCATCTCCAGTATGAGGACAAAAATATGTAAAGCTTTCTCCGGATCTTGGCTGTGCTGTAGCACCTCAACATTTATTCAGAGAACAAAAGATGGCAAGGTCCTGTGAGGTCAGTGCCTCGCCTCCCCTTTCCAAAGCTTCATATTTTTCATTAAAAAGCGGTATTATCCTTTCCCAACTTTGCTTTGAAACAGGAGACAATTTATGGGGTCAGCCTAGAAGCTACAGCGAGAGCCTCCATGCTGGCAAAAAGTATAGGATTACTCTGTCTGATCATGCCTGGGGCATGTAAATTATTTCACAGCACTTGCCATTTAAACAAGATGTAAAGAAACTACTATAATTGCAGCATTAGAAACTCTGCAATATTTTTAGCATCTATAGTAACCTCCAAAGACTTTGCTTTCATTGGCACAATATATAGGGCCTGGCAGTGTTTGGCTCTGCACAAACTAGGGGCAGGGTGCAAGGAGACGTCTCTCTACATACATCTTATGCCCCTATGCAGGGCCAGAGACAGGACTGGATCCTGGGATCTGGCTGATCTACACAGAGGTCAGGTCACTGGTCTAGGGGGACAGGTGACTCAAAACTCCCATCTGCTTTCTCCTGACCCTGGAGCTGCTCTGTGCAGACCCTGCATCAAGTTGGAATAGTCTGAGGGTACCTCTATCTTGTGTCCTCTGCAAACACGTCTGAAGACACCATGGTATAGGAGCATTCTGGCCATGTCACCTCTCCTCCAGCCATGCCAGCAGCGCAGAGGCAGAGAAATGCATGAGGCCATATGTCAGCTCCAGACACCAGAGGATCACCCTTGTGCTAGGATGATCCTCTAGAGCCAGTCCCTCTTGCTTTAGGGCCAGACCATGACAGTGGTGCAATGCAAAGCAGCTACACTGCACTGGAGAATCTGCCCCACAGTGACAGTCTTTGCAGTCAGAAGGCAAAATTCTGATCTCAATTACGTGGAGTATTGAAAACGCTGTTGAAATGGGAGTCTGTCCTTTAAATTTCAGGGCACGTTCCTGAGCCTGCTTGCAGGCTAGGGAGCTCTGTAGGGAAGCGTGTGATCTGGGCCTGGCCTAGCCTAGTGTAAGGGATCATAAACCTTGAATCAAGCCTTGCACATAGTGGGCCAGATCCCTTGGCAGAGAAAGTGAAATGAAGACATAAATACACTAGGACAGGAAGTGCAAATTGTAAAAACTCTCAAGTGGCAAGATTCAAATCTGATTGATAAACAGAATTATGGTGAAAATGTACTTCAGCATCTTACAGTAAAATTACAAAGGTTGATTAAGGAGAAGATGCACAGCTTAAATTGAGAAGTAGCTTAACCTTTGCCTGGGACAAGCTGTTCAATCAAAATGAAGCAGTCCATGACTTGGAGATTACTGCTGAAAATGTTGCGATCAATCAGGTCATGTGATAATGACACACATTTGAACAGACACAACATTGTGCTAAGCTATCATATGAAAAGCTAACCAAGGGCAGGCTGAAAACCTGCCAGACTGCTAGACGGGGCTGCCTCTGAGTGCAACTTTTAATGAAGAGAAAGACGCTGCCAGACGGGGCTGCCTCTCAGTGCAACTTTTAATGAAGAGAAAGACGCTGCCATTTGCTCTGTCAGGCAACTAATTATTCTTTTCACTGAGAAGCAACACAAAAGGAGCATTAACTCTTGCCTTCTGCAGAAGCACTTGAATAATCAGAGAACATCTACCAGGCAAGATATGGCATGGGAAGGAATGTTTGTATTGACAAGAAAATAACAGATCCCAAGCAGGCTGAGATGAGGAATACTAAGAGATGACATTGTGAAGAATATATGCAGGTTTTTGGTTTCAGGTTCAGACTGGCTTTTGGTGCACCGTTACCCAAGAGATCAAGCATGAAGGTCTACCCCATTCTCTGGCCTCTATGGGTATGTCTACACTGCACACTAAGCCCAGGTCTACGGGACCCAGGCTTGTAGACTTGGTGTTTCCAAATCAGAGTTTGAGTGTTCACACTGCATTGTAAAGCTTGCTTTACAATTGTGGGACCCATGTCTCAGAGCTGTGCTAATATGTCCACACAGCACTACGCAGACCTTCTGACTCAGGTCTGCAGCTTGACCTGGGTCCGCACTGCAAAATGACAGGGCTTGGATCTGAATCACAGCGGGAATCAGGCTTTGACCCACTCCCTTAGCGGGACCCTAAGACCCAGGTCCTGAGTGCTTGCTGACCCGAGTCAGACTGATGTGTGTGTGGACAGAAGTGGGGCTTGGGCTCAAGCCTGAGTCAGAGCCCAGGTTTAGTGTGCAGTGTAGACATACACTATCTGCCACTCTAGCAGCAAACAGGGGCTATAAGTAGCCAGCAAACAACTAAGGGAGAATTCCTGGTGCAGGCATTGTGTTAAGCCACTGCTGGCTCCCTGCAAGCATCGGTACAGGACGTGTGTGAGGGCAGTTGTGGGGCTGGAGACAGAAGAGAATGTATTGGGGCAGAGCTGTACAACATGCTACCATGGCCAATCTGGCTTGCGCTGGAAGCCACAGGGAGCTCTGCAGAGGATGCCATAACTTAGGGGTGCCTAAATTTCGCTAGAGGTTGTTTCAGCCCCTGGAGCAGCCCAGAATTGGGAAGGTGCCAAAAATGACTTCAAGCCACCCTCTGCCACTCTCTCCCCCTAACTCACATGGGATTGTCTGAGAGTAGAATGAAAGACTGTAGGTTTAATTTAAGAGAACCAACAGGAATCAAAATATTTGTGTTTTGCACCAACCTAGATTGAATAAGTGTTGAAAATTTACTTCACTACTGTTCCTGTTAAACAAGAAAGACAGGATGTCTCCGTGATTATTTATATTTAGATTACATTCTTGGTTATTACCAATAACTTTTTTTGGGGGGGGGAAGGGGGAGGGGATGGAAGAGACGTGTGGAGCGGGGGAGGGAATTGGCTGCTGTGTGTAAAAAATATTACAACAACTGTAATTAAGAGAAATTCTGGTGAATATAATTTTCTATTTGGGAGTGAGAAGGATACTCAGTGGCAGCAAGAAAATATGTTAACTCACCGGAGAAGCAATATCACAGTTAAACCATTTGAGAAATGGAATCCACTTGCTCAGCCTGTGACAGAAACGGACAACTGCACCAGATCTAAAAAAGCTTCTTGAGTACTAGTGAAATTTACAAGTACCAGCAAGCTGTCTCCTGTAGCCAACTTTGGAATTCAGCTGTCATTTGCAATTTACACGTAGTCTGGCTCCCGATCATGAGAGGGGCTGAGACAACTCCTTAGATTAAGGGATCTCTTTCATTCAGTCCTCCCTCCCATTGTGAGAGGTAGCAAGGTTCCTTCAGCTACCATTATTCACTTCCTGGCAAGACTCCCTAGCTGCCTCTAACCTTGGAATTAGCCAGTGAGTCCCTCATTTATTTCAGTCACGAAAACTAATGTTTTCCACCACCCCTTCCACCAGCAGCCTCTAGAGATTTTTCAACTGGATTGTTTCACTTTCTCTTTTGGCGCAAGGTGGCATTTGTAGCTGCTTCAACTGCCTTTTCTAGAGCCTCAGTTAGCTGGAGACATCAGCATGTATTTTACCTAAATACACTGGGCCTGATTCTGATCTCACAGCAGCAACAATCAGTGTAAATCTACACCGGTGTAAAACTAACCTAAGAGATCTGACTCAGGCTCTCCATATTCAGATAATTTGTTTGAGGGAACTAGCGAGTCCAAATATCAAACTGCACAACACAAATATTAGCTGTTCATGGATTAAGGACAAACCCTTGTTTAGAGGGAAGTCACTAAACATTTAAATTGGGAATCTGGTGAAATTTATAATCCCAAGAGTTGAATTGCCAGGAGCAAAAAGGGGTGTTTTTAATGAATGGATTTACTCTGCAACCTGACTTTGATTAAATGTTTCTTTAGATGTATTTATGGCTAGAAAGTGTGACTGCAGCAGCTGCAGGCACAGAATAGGGGTTTATATTTTTTTAAATATTTTTAATGAACAAGTTCATCCCCATGAAAGATTCTAGCCCTGGAGACTCAAGGCTTCTGTTTCCCATAGAACCACAAACTTCCCCACATTGCCCCTTCAAGGAGACTCCATGCTCCCCTTTGATGATGATTTCTTGGGATGAGAGTGTCCAACAATCACCATGACCACCCAGTCCTTGGTCTGGGTGAAGAAGTGGGAAAGAAGAGCAGGTGTCATGGTTGTACAGGCAGATGACAGAGCTCATGTAACAGAGTTCAGTTTTATTAACACTAGTTGTTTGGATTAGTCAGTTACCAGACACTGGAATGCCTGTTCTTCCCCAAGGCAAATCCAAAGCCACTGATGTACAAAAGCTACTGTACAGGTGGCTAGATAGACCCTAGATATGTCCTTGATCTACTCTCATTTCTCTAGAGTCTTGAGCATCCCTACGTGTAAGCCTCTCCTACCCACCAAAGGCAAATCCTTGTCCCATAGCCAGATCCTTCCCACTGGTTGTGGAAATGAAGGGTATTGTCTCATCTCAAACCTTCACCCAAACCAACTATCAAAGTGAGTCATGGACATGAAAAGGTGAATTATGATGTTGACCACCCTCCTGTCTAATGACCACCGTACCTCTGAAATTGAGGGCAGGTTCAGGCTGGAAAATGAATTAGCATCTATTGAAAATCTTTTAGCTATTAGTGTTGGCTGCCTATTCTTTGTGTTGGAAAAGCATTAACTGCTTGCCAACTCTGTGAGTCTGGATCTGGGGATTTGTGTTATAGCCTCTAATGAGGGTGCAGAGTTGGGATGCTTCCTCATCTCCTTGGATGGATTATTTTGCATCAAGATCACACTGAGATCTTTGATTTACCAAAGGACAGGGAAGCATTTGCTTTGGGATTGTTTGTATTAATCTTGCCCTGTTAAGAACACTCAAACCTTCTTTGCACTATAGATACATTCTTTTCCCATGAACCATATTGGGGAACTCCTAGCTCTCATATCAGAAACACTAACAGTAAATAATGCAGGCTAGTAACTGGTGAGCATCTTAAACCCTCCTCTCTTTTATAGTTGCATTTTACCTGAGCTTCTGCCTTTATTTCTTCATATTCCACCTTCATCTTCTTCTGGACATCCTCATTGACACTCGGGTCACCTATCCTGTTAAACAAGGAAGCAGCTTCCTCCAGCAGCCTTTCCAGCAGGACTGACTGATTTAGGACATCGTTCAGCAGAACCTGGGAGTGGCTCAGCTGCCATTGCTTCTCCTTTAAACCGAGCTGCAGCTCTATGTCAGGCTCCAAGGTAACCTTCATGTTATGAATCCAGGCGTAAAACTCATCCTGGGCTTTCAAGTATTCACTCCAGTGCAGCCACACCCATTCGATACGGCTGTTGGGGAAAGTGACAAACAAGATACATGAGGTTCTCCCAGGACCAGTGAAGAGGGTGAGGAGTGCCAGATGCGTTAAAAAATATTGGCAATAAAGAATCAGATTCTCAGACAGGATAAATCAGCCTAGCTTCATTGACTTCAGAGTGTCACAATCCACTTCCCAGCTCCCCCCGGCTGTGGGAAGAAGTACCCTGTGCTAGCCCTGTGCCTGGCAAAGATTATTTCTCAGGTCATTGGCCTGGCATATTGTGGGTAGATGTAGAGCCAAGGTTCCACCTACTCCCTGCTCCTTTCCAACATATGCATGGGAACCCAGTGAAGGCTCCTCTCTCCCCCCCACAATACAGATAGCCAGAGCGGGGAGTAAGGCGGCATTGTCTGAGAGCATTAGACAATATGTCAAATAGAGTCTTTGTGGAAACAGCATGTGTCCTACCTGTGGCAATGAGTAATGTAGATGGCTGTTTCTTCCCACATGGCTTTAATGTCTTTCAGTTTGGATAGTATCTCATGCTTTTCCTCCTCGCTGATGCAGCGAAGAAGGGCATCTGCTTTCATCAGGACCAAATCCATTTTCAATCGACCTTCTGGCTCCAATGCACAAATTTTCTATTAGAAAACACAAAACTGAAAACATTAAAAAAAAAGAGAGCCTGCCAGTGTAGTTATTGAATTAGAACTTTGTGTTTATATGGAAATCATTACATCCCTGCTGGAAAATGCCTACAACATTTAATAGAAATAAAAACTTTTCTACTGTTTTTTTCAGTATTCTTACAGAATTTAATTAATAGAGAAATATATCCCTGTTGTAAAATAGTTACCACCACCAACAGATAGTAGATCATTCTCTGTTAACTTCTGTAGGTTTTCATGGTAATTTCTACACAGCCCTGTTGGGTTAGTACCTATTAAGTTCTATAGGACTTGCCTGTAACAGCAGTATCTCCACTACTGCTACAGATCTATTGCACTACATAACCACATGACGTCTAATTCACTTTCTTGGAATAAGTGCAGAGGAGACACTATTCATGGGAAACATTGAGCAAAGCCAGTATTGTAAGTTGCACCAGAACATGCCATGGGATCTGCACAAAAAAGCACTTTGTTGCAAATCATAGAAGACACACTTTGAGCCACCCTATAAAAAGATTAGAGAATGATATCTCTGCTATTAAATTCTATTTCTAATTCAAAAACATGTTGTGTATCAGTTAAGGCTCTGGCACATACATGCATACCTAACACAAAACCTACAAGCAAGGAAATGAAAGTTAAGCCATCTATCACTATGTATCTTCTACTCTTCCACCCAGAGACAAACCTAACCCCTAGTACAACCACCCCACACCACACACACCACCTTAATTCTGTCCTAGTAGTGTTGTCAGCCTTCCAGCATCACCTTCCCACTATCACGCAGACCACTAGACTTCCTTTCCCTGCTATTCCTCTGCACAGTTCTGGGAAACCACACTCATTCAAGTTGGGGGAAGGGGTGCCAAAAGGAAAATGTTGAGACACTCAAAATCTGAGGTCATTTTTGAAAATTTAGGCCTAAGTGATTTTTCCAGAGTGATTTGCCTTATTACCATAAATACATCATTTGATTATTTACTTGTAAAAAAAAACAAAAAACAAAAACAGAGCACGGGGGAAAATATAAACCACACCCAGCAAACAATAGAAAGATTCAAAACCAAAACTTAGTCCAGGCTTCAGTCTTATTCCTGCTTGAAATGACATGAGCAACTGAGCCCACGATAGAGAAAGCTGTGGTTGGAGCTGGCATTTTTTTTTAACGATTGCTTTCTTTGGCCGGCATTTTCATTAGCAAATTAACAGAAAATAAATCATAGTGAGGAAGCCTGAATAAATGCAAGCCAACTGGGAAAGAGGCACTTGGAATGGATGTTTTTATTTAAAAAAAGGCAATGAGTGAAAGAATGAGCAGGCCAGAAGGCGGTATCAGCTGGGTGGCAGAGGAGGAAGAGGGGAAAGAAAGGTAGAACTAATGAAGAGCCACTTGCTTTTTGTTTAATAATAATAATGATGGATTTCCAATATCCAGATTGAAAAAGCTACTATAACAAGGATTTTCTATGCATTATGACCCTGTTCCAAAGTCCAACAAAGGCATCAGCTTTAGATCAGCCCAGGTAAGATCACACAAACCACATAATCTTCATTCTTGTGATCTGTAATGTTGACAGAACCCCTTGATAAACTGTCTCCCACAGCACTGACTTTCCTGAATTCTCTGAATGCATTATGATGTTGTCTGTATCAACATTCCTTAGGCAAAAGGTAAGGGCTGTGCTCATCCGAAAGCAGAAACAAATCCACAATCCAAAATGAAGTAGGAACTTCCAGCCTTTGTGACTGCTATGCAAGTCGGCCCATCACCACCAGCTCGCGGATGAGTGTCTATGCTAGGCCTGGTACATGCTGCAACCCACAATGAACCCCATTTGAAAAAATGGTCCTGAAAATACTGCAATGCCAATATTTAAACCACCCCACCAGGAGTGCCATTTTTCAGTGCTAGTCATCCCAGCTCAAAAACAGAGGGGGTTCAAAGATGTGGGGGCAAACATGACTAGATACACAGAAAGATGTTCATCTGAAGAGAAACAGAGAAGGCTGTTTCATTTAGAGAACAGGCCTATCACAGGGAAATATGAGAGATGTATAGAAAATAAGCTAGTGCGATGGGGTATACAAACCCCACACTGGGGAACACAGGGTTAATGAGCTATTGTGGGCTCAGTTGGCCCTGCCTTGCCACACCTGAGAGAGATGTCAGACTTGAAGGGAGGATTTTAAAATGGTAAAACACGGCACAGCTAGTGGCAGAGCAGGCCTTGTGGGAACTCCTCAGATCAGTGCGGCCCAACAGCCAATCCCTGATGGAAGGGACGACTCGATGCTGATCCACTTTTGCTGGGACTGTTCTTCCATGTTAGCCTGTGAGCCTCGTCGGGGCCACAGGAGCTTTACAGAAGCCTTCAGAAGAAAGAGCCTTACGACTCCTGTGGGACAATCCATTTGTGTTCATTCTTTTTGCAACCCTGAAAGGAGCAGCCTGCCCAGGGCTCAGCCAGAGAAAACTTGTTTTTGTACACTGAGTACCTCTTGTGACTAGACTGGCACAGTGGAACACTCAGGCGTCTCAGAGCAGAGGCCCAAGTGAGTGCAAAGGCCCAGCCTGAGGGTGCCCTGGTGATAGTAGTCTCAACCTACTGCCCCACTATAATAATGAATGGTACAGCTGGGGTAGATAGGAGCAGCCAGTTTTCTCAGTGTACAAAAACAAGGGATATCGAATGAAATTGGAAGGCAACACAATTAAAATGGCTAAAAGGAAACACTATTTTTTAAACACACAAGGCATAATTCATCTGCCACCAGATCTGAGGACAAGAGATTAACGGGATTATACAAAATATTATGTATCTATGTAGATAATGCGCAGATTCACAGTTCCATTAAAAGGATGAGAGCTATAAACCCACTAACTGACAGGGTTTAGGAAGAAATTTGCCCTACAGACAGATTATTCCCTAACTGTCCATCCCTGGGATTCCGGTACCTTTCTCGATAGCATCTGGTGTCACCCAGGGATTCTCAGAACCCAAAGCAGTGATAACTTACTGTCCCTCTCTAGGTAGGGTCAGGAATAAATCAACACACACACACACACTCTCTCTCTCTCTCTCTCTTCAAAACAAGTATATTTACCTACAGTTAAGAAATGATTTTGAGGAATCAGTGCCCAGCCTCCCAGGGGCCCCCACCTTCCAGCTAGCTGCTGGGGAACTTAGCTGTCAGATCTGAGCCCAAAAGAAAGCTTCCTTGAAATGTTCCAAAGCATATTCTTTCATCTAATCTTTTATAGCTAAACTTCAAAGCACACAACCTATAGTGACTCCTACTGGGTCACCAATTCTCCTAATTTCAGCAAAACTAGTCATTATCTCTTATCATCAAAACATTTCTAGTCAGAACAATGTGTCTGGGGCACTTAAAACCTAGGTCACTATTCACTCACTCTCTTCCACACTTGTTAACTTTCTGCTCCATCTTCCCATTCTGATTAAAAAACTGCAAGTATGCAGCTGTCTTACCTTGCCTCATAAAGGCCAAAGATTTTGCTAGCTATGTGATGTTTGGTTTTCAGCTGGGAGTGGCTGAACATACAAAACTGCTGACTGCGTCATTATCAAATTCTGGGGTAACAACGGCATTGTCCCATCAGAGACGTGGGATGAGATGGGCTACTGGTCTCATCTGGTAGCATCGTTTCCTGCACTGCATTGAGTGGTTGCAAACCCCAGCCTTGTGATTGCGAAAAGCAACTAAACTTCCACTTTAGCATGCACAAATGAATGAGTGCTGGGAACAGCAGCTGAGATAGTTTGGTAAATCAGGATTGCTCTTAGTCTTCCAAATACACATGAAAAGTCTGGAAGCATCTAATCTAACAGCAGGATGCAAACCTCCCTGCCCCCATCCCTCCACACACATTCTATTTCCTTTTTTTATGACAGCAATAAGTGGCTTGCAAAAGAAGAAGCTGGAGAGAATGCTAAAGTGATCCTGCCCAAAAGGGAGCAACCTTACAGCTAATGAGGTTATTTTCATGCCGAATCCAGGGCCGGCGCACTCCATTAGGCGACCTAGGCGGTTGTCTAGGGCGCTACAATTTGGGGGATGGCGACCGCAGCAGTATTTCGGCAGCGGGACCTTCCGCCGCCTCTGAGGGGGCCGCATTTCGGGGCGGGACCTTCCGCCACCTAGGGCGGCAGAAAAGCTGGTGGCGCTCCTGGCCCTATCCCACCTTGATCGTCTCCTAATGGAAACTTCTCCATGACTCCTGGCAGTCCCTGCAGTGCCAATGCCACTTGTGAATATGTCTCTCAGAAAGGAGGATCAGTCTTCCCTTACCTCAGTCTCTCTTAGCCTGGCTTCCAGGGCAGACCGAGGTCCCTTGGTGTTGTCATTGATCCGCAGTCTCTCCTGGATGGCTTTCATCCAAGCTTCTGCATTCTCCACACTTGTGTCAAATTCATCCTGGGGCTGCTGAGTCATCGCATTAGAGGAAACTGAAAAGATAAAGAAATGAGGAATTAAAAACAAACAAACAAACAATTCTTTTATCAGGAAAGTCTCTCACAGTCTTAAGCAGCAGGGAAAAAAGGAAAATAACTTTACTGATCTCTTTTTGATAATGGCATCAAAATCCACAACCCACAGTAGTCCTAAATCTCTATGTGAGATTCAGCAGAGGGGAGTATGGAATAAAAGCTCAAACTCAGAGCTCCTAAAATGAAAGTATACAAGGGAACAAGATGAAGTTGGGACACTCCTTTAAGCTCTGTGATTTGGGCTGACATTCAAAGGGATAAGAGTCACTGCATTTATTTGAAAACCAAATTAGGTTAATTTGGTGCTTGTGAAATGTACCAGACTGAACACTAACGTCCTTTGTGTTTTCACAGAACATGCACAGCACAGTCAGCGGGAATATAAATATGTCCATCAACATGACTCTCTCTCAGCCCATTTAGGGCTCAGCCCTGCAAGGTACTGAGCACCTGGCTCTGACCTAGCCAAGCACTTGCGTGTGTGCTTAACTTTAAACATGAATTGTCTCAATGAAGTTGGCCAGATCAAACCAAAATACTCAGCACCTTGCAGTTAATCCTCTCTGCTGAAACTTCTAAGGAGGCTGACAACACTGGTCTACAATTTTTGAGACGTCGTCTGCTTCAGAGATAAAATGTGCTATTTATTATGTATTTTGATGTGCTGAATTCAAATATGACAATTAAAACAACTGATTGGCTACTGTTGCTAAGA